AAAAAAGAAAGAAATGTAGGATAGATTCAATCTAACCAGTGTGAATTTGAAATTTTACGAAAATTGAATGGATACTTTTCTGTAGTTTCTAAACAACATGCCCGACGATTTACCAAGTATCAGAAACTTAATTCCAGATTAAACTAGATAGTGGCTAACTACATTTCACTATTTTAATGGTATCATTTTCCAATCCGATTAAACGATCGTCGAAAAGGGATTTAGAAATAAAGAAAAATGTATGGACTCTTAATTGAGAATAATCAAATTAATGATTCATTTAAATACGTGACCTTTGCATACCATATTTCAATTATAAATGCATCATTTGGTATTATTTTCTACAAATTGTTTTCCGAATAAAAACTTAACGTATTTTTGTCAACTATTTTTATGACATACATTCAATTCTTATAGTTAGCATATTAGCAACAATAAAAAATGTACAAAGTTTCGATAATAGGATTGCAAGAAAATCTACAAAATAGGATAAAACAGAAGAATACGAATCAGCCGGTGTGTCCCTGGATTCTGTCGACCCATGCTGTCGACAGAATCCCAATCCCAGTTCTACGTGTCGATATTGTGGTGCAAGAATGCGATTGGTCGTCGATACCACTTTTTATATTGAAACCAAATAAACGACAGATGAGTATTATAAAATGATTAACCAAATAACAGTTAACAAGGTTCCGATACGAATTGTTCTAAGTCATCAAATAAAAGATAATTTGACAAACACTCGAGATACAAAATCCCAGATACTTTGTATAAAAAGATAGGCCTATTTATTTAACCGAACGACATTAACCCCGATAAATAAAAGAAAATATGAAGCATATGTTTGACTTAATCCCGATTATTATAAATAAAAATTATTCTTTTTATCTCGAACAGATAATAAACAATGGAAGATAATAAAAGCAATTAAAACTTACCATATAAAGTCCTTGCAATGGCTACAGAATGTCGGTTGTTTGAAGAAACGTGGCATAAAGCTATGATTCTTAACCATGTACACATTTTTCTTCTTTAGTGCTCCCTTCCGGCCCCGTAATTTCTTGGCAAAAGCAGTTGTGGTATCACCAGGACCGAGAGAATCCTCGCACGTGTTATTCGTATCTTGTTCCTCCGCCATGGCGATCGTCTTATCGCGAACGCGATGCGTTTGGACCGACGGGGGTCTTAAACAGACCCTCGCGGTTATCGTTATTCCTCTTCCTCCTCTTCTCTCCGCTGGCTACTCCTTCTTCTAAACTTCCTTATCCTTCTTTTTCAATCAGATTAGAATAGTTCCTGTTGTTCCTTCCTGATTAATTGTGATTCACTTCTTTTTATTCTTCTTCTTCTTCTTCTTCTGTCACTCTGACAACTGAGAGTTGTTCAAAAGCAATAATCGGGTCGCAGCACCAGCACCAGCAGCAACAGCAGCAGCAGCACCAGTAGCACCAGCAGCACCAGCAGTAGCAGCAGCCTTGGTATCGTTCGTACCAAGTTAAAGAGAGAGAAAGAGAGAGAGAGAGAGAGAGAAAAAGACAGATAGGTAGATAGATAAAGAGAACGTTAAGCGAGAGAACTCGCACGATGGGTGGTAGGTAGGCTACTCCGCGCGCGCGGTATAAGCCCGTGCCACGACGTAGACCTACCTCGTATTCCCTCTCCCCTCCTCACCAAACCCTCTTCAACCCACTCGTTCGTTCGTTCGTTCGTACGTTCGTTCGTTCGTTCGTTTGTGCGTTCGTACGTTCGTTCGTTCGTCTATCCGACCATCCGTTTGTCCATCAGCCTGTCCGTCGTTCGTAACGTTCAGTTAACTCACTCTGCTACTTCTTTTCCTTCTTCTACCACTACTACTTCTTCCTCTCTCTTTCTCTTTCTCTCCCACCTCTTATTCCAAACCAACAAACCTTCTTACTTCACGTAACACGTTTTTTCTACCTACTCGTCCAACAACCGATCAGCTATAGTTCTCCTCCTACTACTCCTTCCACTCCTTCCACTCCTCTCCTTTTGTATTTCAACTTTCCTTCTCTTATTCCCGAACTGCTCGTAACTTTTCTGCGCACCTTGAACCCTTTTTTTCTCCTACTCCCGCCTCGACAAATCTCTTTAACCGTAACTGTTTGTCCGGGGGATTTTTTTTAATTAATCCTACTCTTTTTTTTTAATTCTGTATTCACGTTATCTCTCTCTCTCTCTCACTCTCTGTCTCTCTCTCTCTCACTCTCTCTCTCTCTCTCTGTCTCTTTCTTTCTTTCACTCTCTTCTTTTTATCTTTTAATTCTTTACGTTTTCGATTACCCTTCTTCTATCTCTCTCTCTCTTTCTCTCTCTCTCTCTGAGACTCTCTCTCTGAGTCTCTCTCTCTCTCTTTCTTCTTTCTCTGTTTCTTCTATCGTGGACCGGCCGATAATTTTAGATTCTCGGCGCAGTGACTCGGAGCTGCCACTGCTCAGCCTGTGCCGCGCACTCCAATATCGACATCCAACGACCAACAGAAACTACAAGCTACGAAAAGCAACCATGAACGAGGTTCAACCTGGCAGATGAACCAAATTTAAAGCAAGTGAACGTAATCAAATTTCTAAATGTTCTATCCCTTATTCGTATATCCTTTTATCTTTATTATTACTGTTCCCTTATTTTGTCCAATACTTTTATCCCAAACGTTCCATTTCACCCTTAATTCTTACCCTACTCTTATACCCTCCCTCCCCCCACCCCAAATTATATCCTGTATATATATATGTTACCGTGAAAGAGACCGAAATTGGAGAATGTCAAGATTCACATGGACGCTTGTCAACAGATACCAAATATGTTGGTTAGAGACCGATTATATTAATATTTTGGACATATACCAAGTGACCACGTGAATCTTAACATTCTTCAATTTCGGTTTTTCACGGTAACATATATATCTGCTGATAATTATAACAGTAAATTAAATAAATGAAAAAAAAAAAAAATGAATTTAATGATTTACATTGTCAGATGTGTGAATCATTAAATAAATGTTTCTTTTTTTGACGTTCTCTTTTAATTAAAGAACACTGATAATAATTACACACAGCAGAGAAATTTACTTAATATTCTACAAGAGACAGATGGCTTTTCGTGAATCAATCGAATTAAAGTTGTTTCATTTTTTTTAAAGGGAATATAATTATTCGAAATGAATTTAGAAATAATCGAAAAAAGGAAAAACAAAACGAAAGGATTTCTCCTCCTCCTCCTCCTCCTCCTACTACTATCCCTTCTTTTTCAGGTTGCTCGACCGGAAAGAATTATAGCTCAAGTTATGACGCTCGGGTCAATAATACCTACCTTAGGGCTATTTTTAATAACACGATCGTGCGCGGTGCTCTTACGCGCTTGTGCTTATGCCTGTCCATCGATTCTTTGCGCTTTAAGAATTCACGGAAACATGAAACCAATAAAGTCTAATCATCCGTGAAAGGTGCAATAGATTTTTATTATCTATATCATCTTGACCATCGAAAATAATTTCAATGAAGAAGATAATTATTACATGTCGTGTTGTATTCCTTAAATCATAAATTGGATAATAGAATTTGAATAGTTTTATGGTATAAATGAATTTTCTTGCAATTAGATCATTTCAATGATTTGTATCATTCAGTACATTGAAAAAAAAAAAAAAGAAACTAGATCAAACATAAGCTAAATATTTGCGAGTTCTGTTGCATATTACAATAAAATATATCTATATAGTATGTATGATATGTGAATCATAAAATTTTATAGATGATTATGTAGTTCGTACTCGTAAGGATAGATGGCGTTTTCGTAATGGGTGTCGTCCAAGTTGCATTTTATTCAATTCAAAGACGTTTTACACGCGTCCTTTCATTTAATTGTTATAGTTAAAAAAAAAATTTCGAAATAATGTGGTATTTATTAAAGATCTCGTGTATTATTTCAATCATCTTAGCTAATTCGATTAGTGAGTATTAACAAATAATGTGTCAAAGTGGTATCATTAATTCAACGGTAAACATTGTTATAGGTCACGCCCTGGAATGTTATGTTTGCACTAATCAGGAAGATAATACTGACAAATGCTTAAAAAGTTTAAAAACATGCGAACAGGGAGAGGATGTGTGTTTAACAGAAATTAAATGGGGCAGTAAGTTTTCATAGTTTGTCTTAGTCTTTAATCATCTTAGAGGTTATATTATTATGACTCATATTCAATATTTTCTTTTACAGGTACACCGTACTGGTCGCAAGGTGCGAAAAAACAATTTTATATATCGAAAAGGTGTTCTTCTAAAGTAGAATGTGAAAGAGTACGACGCACTAATATGCCAGTTTGTACTCATATTTGGTATCAAGATTGGAAATGTTCTGAATGTTGTCATGGTGACAGGTGCAACTATTATATTATTGTAAGTATAACTCATACTATTTTACATTTATACATAGATATTTGTATTTATCTATAAAGATAATGTTATCTTATAATTACTTTGTTATCTATTTGATCAATTTAGTCTGATGCGAGCCAAGTGAAAGCTACAGTTGGAAGTATTATCTTGGTATCACTTAGCGTCTTTCTATTCGCTAGATAAAATTTACTTCCATAGAGAACATTGACTACCATTTATTGAAAAATTCATGTAATCTTACTCGACATCGAAGGAGATGAATCTATTATACGTCGAATGAAGGACGACAGACATCAGTATCGTTTTAATGATGTCTCTTTCAAAAATCAACAACGTAGTATATTTAGCATTGTATAAAATGTATGACTATCATCAAATACTTACCTTTGATTTAAGCCATACGAGTACTATGTACAAATAAGTTTCTATAGAAGAAACTCTGTCCATAATTTTAGACTGTTAATATGTTGATTACATTAATATAAGTATTTTATATATATATATATATATATATATATATATAACTTTTATACATAATTCTGATGTGACTAAGAATTTTATTTGATCATTATGAAAACAAATATATTTATAACTTTTGCACATTAATGCATTTTACACAATGCTTGTACTGTGCTATACATGCATATGAATTATTTTTTATATAACAATGATAAATATTCGTTTCATGAAATTATTAATTAATAGTTTTACACTCTCTATACAAATATATACACTTATAAAAATTGATTAACTTTATAAAAATGTATATTTACGTGCATAAAAGGATAGAAGCACGCGTGCATACACGCACATTTCTTCGTATGTGTGTATAATATATATTTAATCCGTCCATTTTTGTATATTAATAAAAAGACATCTAATTCCAAATATTTATTCATTCTTTTTTATTGTTAATAAAGTACGTAAAATAAAGCGTTAATTATTCGAGACGCCAAATATTCACTGATAAGTTGTTAATTGAACTCAAATAGAAACATAATCAATAAAAATGAAAAACTTTTAAAGTCTTCTTCTTCTTCTTCCTCATTTTATTAGGACTTTGTCCTGTTATAATAGCTTTTTTTTTATTGCTATTTTTAGGAACGATTTATTGTCTTTTAAAGTCTACTTTAAAATCTAAATAAACACAATAACAACTGATCCAATGTATAGAATTCATTTCAGCAATAATAGTATCAATGTCATTAGCCAGTCACAATTTTTCTATACGAGCTAAAGAAAGGATTCTGATATCTACGCAGACAGTTCTTCTACTTCATTCATAAAAAACTATCTCTGAATTTCAAGAGGTGAAATAACGTGTCCATACTTCCCGAAGAGGAATTACCTTATAACTCTGGTATATGACGACACAGTCATGAATCTACTGATGACGTTTGTGTTTTCGGGATATAATGGATTGACAAACAAATTGTATCGATTTACATTTTTTAAAAAATTCCTCATCATTTGGTATGATCATAATATTATAAAATAAAAAGAAACTTATATAAAATATCCATTGTGTTCAAATCATTGTCGTTTTCAATACCATAATCTTATAAAGGAAAAATGTTACAATTCAAATAACATATATAATTGTTATAAATATAAATAACTTTTATTAAATATATAATAATAATTTTTAATAATATATGATAATAATTAAATATAATATATATTTTATTTTATATATATATAAATAACATTTCTTATTATAAGATATGTTCTCGTTTACTTATAAACCATTCAAATGAAAATATTGTTTTAGTTTTTAATCGATTTATTATATGATATAATCAGGAATTTAATTATTTCATTGTTATATCGATTATCGAAATGAATTTGTTATTCAATTAATTCAGATAATCTATGCCCTATTGTACTTGTATAATACCTTCCTGAAATTAAATGTTCATACAATAATCTTATCTTTACACGAATAAACGATTATCTCCTATCATAAAAACTACTGAAATGTCTAATCCTTTGTTTGTACATGTATCATCTCTCATCATTCCAAAGTGCAATATCAAAATTATAGTTATATACTTTGAACAATAACTATGTCTCCGAAATAACAAAGTTTATCGTATGAATTGTATGTAAGAGCAATATTGAAAATAAAAAAGAAATATCTTTATCAATTTATCCTCTTTATGATCCAATCGTATATCATACTCGTCGCAATGGGGATAATCCAACGATATCTGTTGAGATAAGAAAGAAAAAAAATATTTATTATTATAAGTATATTTGGAAAAATAATTCCTATAACAGAGAGACAATTCATATAATTGTTACAGTTACTACAGAAACTGTCGTTGCTGTTAAACAGTGTTGTGTTTTCAACGACGACGGAGCTAAAAAAAGCTCTTGTTCGAGTAAGTTTGAACAAATATATATTTGTGTTTATTCAGACGCAAAATATTTTCGAATTACGTTGAACAAAAGAAAAAAAGTCAAAATTTCATTAACGAAAATTCGTGCAACAACGAATTCGTAAAATTCGAAATCATTTAGTGCTTTTTAACGTTCGTGATATTACAAATTCATCGTAAATCGAAAAAGTGAAAGATTTAAATGTAAAAGGATGTTTGGTAGGTACGTCAAAATTTTACGAAGAGAATGAAAATTTAAAAGGAATGTTTCTTTATTTAATCCTCAAGCCAAAGGTAATCAGCCCAAATGAATCCACTAAATCGTTTAAAAATTACTAAAATTTTATATAATTGTTATTTTACATGTGATCTTATAACGATTCAGTCACATAACATATTAATCAATAATATAAGATCAAAATTAATGAAGAGTCCTAAATTTTTATTTTATGTAACTTAAACTCTTTTAAACCAATTTTACACAGTTTTATTGATATTCATGAAATAATTATTGACAAAAAAATTATAAACAATCCAAAAAGCAAGTTTTTACTGTACTGTATAAGAAATTATGGCAACACTGTATTTAGCTATAATAAAAGAGCTAAAAATGTAACTATTGTTTTGTAATTTGTTTCTTTTTTCTTAACTATGCAGATAACTTAAAAAATTAACAATGTTGTCACGTTTTCTCTTTTATTCAGAACATTGAATAATTAACATTAAAAATATTTTTCATATCGAAAATAAGTAATATTTAAACGTCATAATTAATACTTAAGCATTATTGATACTTCGATATTAATAATTGATAAAGATCTAAGTGAACATTGTGTTTGCCGTTAATTTAAAATCAACGCACATTCACTATCAAAAGTAGCTTACAAATTTTTTCATATTATTAAACACTTCTTATTTAATTCAATATTATTGGTAAAATTATCTTTTTTTTTTTTTAATTATACATTCTTTCTCGTATCATTCACATAATTAATATATTTCAAAACATGCTGTAAAACATATATATTAACGAATTTAAAATTTTCAACAATTTTACCTTCGATTGTACCTCCCAAACATCGTTAAGCAATATCTCAAGAGTCTAATATTTACAGGTATTAATTAGCGTCTATATTGAAATATGATAAAAACAAAAAAAAACAAAAGAAAAACAAATTCGTATATAAAAGATATAGAATACGATTGTATTCTAAAAAAGAAAACATGTTAAATTGGGGATATACCGGATCATTTATTGTAGAAATATTTTGATCTTATCTTTCACAATTATTAAAAATAATTTAATGTTAATTTACCATACCGAAGATAGTAAGAAAAAAGATTATAAAATCAAATAAACAACAATTTTATTTAATGTTATATTATTTATATTAATATTCCAGTAATTTGAGTATATACAGAGCAATTCACGAATCGTAATTTAGAGTATAGATTAATCAGTTATCATCAGTTTGATGGGAAATATTTTTATCAGGTATCACATAGTTTCGAAAAAACTTTAACGTGTATATCAAATTTTTGTTTTCATGATTTTTTGAGATCATTCTAAGTTTTATTTTTTCTTGCATAAAAACATATTAATAT